TTGTAAAAGACATCACACACATTTACGAAAGAAAGCACAAGTTAGTGAGGTCAGTCAGCAAAGAGGGAGAATGCAAAACTTAACTTGTAAAGCAATTAACAATTAATTAACAAAACGACGTAAAATTAGCATCCGCAGATTGGCAAAGAAGGTGCACAATCNCTACTACCAATAAAGAGGACCAATTTAAGAGTGAGCAGACAGGTGCTAAAAGTGTGAATGGGACTGCTGCTTGGTATTCCCTGCTGCAAGAGCAGTACTAAATGTCTGGTGCCATTTGAGTACTACTGTCCAGAACAGAACAGGGACACTTTGGAATGTGCTGGCACATAAATAGTCACTCGCTGACTGACACATGTGACACATCAACTTCAGTGCCAATGGACAATTGATAAGGCAGACAAACTGTACTGCCAAACTGATTTCAATGCCGTTAACGACATAGAAAGACAGAGTGCCTGCAGAAACAACAACTTACATGAGATAGATGACCGCCTTGAACCACGGTGACCGCTTGTCGAGCAGATTGGCGGGCATGTAGGCAAAGTCGAGGAACATGCAGCAGCAGGGCGCCTCCGTCAGAACCATCAGGAAGCCTTCGATTCTGGTGAGAAAGCCAAAAAAGGATGAGCATTTAGAAACAACAATTCAATGAATAAGCTTACATAAGAATGGCGCCGGCAAAGATGCACTTGACGTCGAGGATGCTCAGCAGATTGAGAAAGCCCATAAAGCAGCTCACTGGTGGGAAGGAAACAGAAAAAGAAGTCTCAGTAAAGAAATCTCACAAAAGAGTGCCCAGGTCTCTCTCTCTCTTACCGACGCCGGCAACGGAGCCGATGCTCTTCGCCGCCGTGGTGNAAGAAAAAGAAGTCTCAGTAAAGAAATCTCAGAAAAGAGTGCCCAGGTCTCTCTCTCTCTCTCTCTCTCTTACCGACGCCGGCAACGGAGCCGATGCTCTTCGCCGCCGTGGTGATCATCCACGGCGTATCGTTGCCGCCGGCCGGAGCCTCCTGGCCAGTCTGCGCGNGGATGCTCAGCAGATTGAGAAAGCCCATAAAGCAGCTCACTGGTGGGAAGGAAAAAGAAAAAGAAGTCTCAGTAAAGAAATCTCAGAAAAGAGTGCCCAGGTCTCTCTCTCTCTCTCTCTCTCTTACCGACGCCGGCAACGGAGCCGATGCTCTTCGCCGCCGTGGTGATCATCCACGGCGTATCGTTGCCGCCGGCCGGAGCCTCCTGGCCAGTCTGCGCGAGCGGCTGCTGCGACCGAAGTATCGTATTGAAGACATTCATCGTTGTTTCTCTTGTTACGGTTTGTTATGGATGATGATGATGATGATGAACACAGACTAAAAATGCAAAGTTGATGTGACGTAAGGAGAGGAAGAACGATGATCACCGTGGTGATGTGTACGTTGCGCCTCCTAAGGTAGGGCTGCTGCTGCTGTTGCTGATGATTACTGAGTTCGACACCAGTGTGTTTTCAATCGCTCAATAGGCTCAGTCTGTTGCAACCAACTTTGGCCTTGGTGGCGGCAACTGCTGCTCCTGCTGCTGATGCTGCTGGTTTCGATCACCACCAGAGCAGTAGACGACGGTGACAGAGCACTTCCACTTTCAGCAGCAACTACAGTTTGAGTCAGTCAGTCAGGCTCTTCTCTCCCAAATATGCTCTTTGTAACTGAATGAGCGAGAGTGGTAGCTCAAAAATGCTGATGAACCAAAGAATGAATGAACGATCTGGTGATGGTGAAGAAGATGAGTTTGTACAGAAGAAGAAGTTGTTGGGCACCAAATGTCAGCGACGTCAACAGAACTCTGAAGAACGGCAGCAGCAGCAAAGTCTCGCTGGTATTTTTGTTTTCGTGAGCTCGCGACNGCTGCGGCTGGTTTCGATCACCGCCAGAGAAATAAACGACGGTGACAGAGCACTTCCACTTCCAGCAACTTTCAGTCAGTCTTCTCCCACTCACCAAATATGATCTTCGTAGCTGAATGAGCGAGAGTGGTAGCTCAAAAATGTTGATGAACCAAAGAATGAATGGACGATCTGGTGATGAAGAAAGAAGATGAGTTTGTACAGAAGAAGAAGAAGGTGTTGGGCACCAAATGTCAGCGACGTCAACAGAACTCTGAAGAACGGCAGCAGCAGCAGCAGCAAAGTCTCGCTGGTATTTTTGTTTTCGTGAGCTCGCGACAACCACAGCGGCGCCATCTTTTCGCAGCGGTGGACGCCGCTCGGTGCAAAGTTCAAAATCAGCAATCTTTGGAAATCTTCAATTTGTTTGTTTATGATTTCCACTTTTTCAGTAGCGTACAATCTCCAAAAGTCAATGCACTTCTGTGTTTAAAAGAAAGTAAAAAGTCCAAAGAGCTTCCTTCTCTCCAACATAAGCAGCCTCATCTGGTCATCGATAGCACACACACATTTCTGCTGCCGTGACCCAATTTCGAACAATGATGAACAACTCTACGAAGACAACTGCCATCGATCAACTGCAGCAGTGGTGGTATATAAAGAAGTCCGACCACAGCAGTCCAAGTTTTCTTCATCACCATCGGCAAACCTTTCACCATGTCATCACCACCACCAGCAAAACGCCTTCCGATGCCCTCGGTGCAGTACACGCAGCTCTTCATCAACGGGCGCTTCGTGGATAGCAGGCTCGGTCGGACATTTCCCAGCTTCAATCCCTTCACCGGACAACAAGTGGCCACGGTTCAGGAAGCTGGTCAGGAGGACGTCGACGCGGCGGTCAAGGCCGCTAGGGCCGCCTTCGAGGTGTGGCGGGCGATGGACGCCTCTCAGCGAGGCCGGATCTTGTACAAACTGGGCGACCTGGTGGAGCAGAACCTGGAGACGATTGCCGTAAGAAATCTCTTTCTAAATGATACCCAAACCTTCTCACCCCTTCTTTTTGCCTAGGGCCTAGACTCTCTAGAAAACGGCATCCCCATCAACGAGAGCCTGCACACCGTGGGCGCAGCAGCGGCCATCCTCCGCTTCTACGGCGGCCTCGCCGACAAGATCAAGGGAGAGACCATTCCCAGCGACGGCAACTTCCTCACCATCACATTGAAGGAGCCAATGGGCATCGCCGCCATCATCATTCCCTGGAACAGCCCTACGCTGATGGCCGCCAAGACGGTGGGCCCGGCGCTGGCCGCCGGCAACGCCGTCCTCCTGAAGCCCGCCGAGCAGACCTCCCTCTCCGCGCTCTTCATCGCCCACCTCAGCACCCTGCTACCTGAACTCCCACCGGGCGTCCTCAACGTCCTCCCCGGGGACGGTCGAACCGGAGCGATGCTCTCCGCCCACGCCTCCATCGACAAGATCACCTTCACGGGCAGCACCGAGGTGGGCCAGAGCATCCTGGCCGCCTCCGCCCGCTCCAACCTGAAACGGGTGACGCTGGAGCTGGGCGGAAAGAGTCCGCTGGTGGTCTTTGAGGACGCCGACGTGGAGCAGGCGGCCCGGCTCGCCTTTGCCGCCCTCTTCGTCTCCAACGGACAGGTGTGCTGCTGTGGCAGCCGAACCTACGTCCACGCCTCCATCTACGAGCAATTTGTTGAGGAGACGCGAAAGCTGGCGCTGGCCCGGGTCGTCGGCGATCCCTTCTCCACCGCCACCGAAC